AAAAGTGAATTTACTCTGTAAATCTTCACCCAAATCCTAATTAAAAAAAAAAAAAAAAAAGTGTGACTATCAGAGAAGGTAACCTAAGTGTTCCTGAAACACAATTCAGGGTTACAGGTGTGATCAACGGGAAGCCACCACAAGGATTGAAGCAAGGCCAGGGCAGGGCCAAACTTGCATTTAGTAGAGTACGGCAGGGAGTGTGAGATGACGGAGAAGGAGGTGGAGTCCAGGAAGTCCCTGTCAGTCTCATATACCCACTGACTCACTTATCTCCAACCTGAAACCTTCTTGACAGACATAACTCCTCTCTCTCCAGCCTCTGAGTCCTGAGGTGGGTGCCTTCTTCCATGTGTGCCTTCAGCATACCACCCTGCCTCTCCACCTGGGCCCAGTGATGAGGTCTTTAGTTTCACAATGGAACCTATCATAAAGGAGGGGAATGTACTGCCAAAAGATCATCCTCAGCCTGAGTCATCCTCCTCCACCTCATGACCCTATTATCTTGGCTGCTTCAAAGGCCAAGGACAGCTCACCTGCAATGATGGCAATATCGGTTTCAGTGGATGTCACTCCATGGTCAGGATCTGTGAATGGAAAAGAGCAGCCAACTTGAGGAAGGGAGACTCATGTCTGCAGCATCTTGGCCTGCAACACCTAAGCCTATGCCTGTTACCTCACTATCCTTCCCACAGGTACTCACTCCTGTACATGGGCCAGGGCCAGCAGAGTGAGCAGCACTATCCATTGGCCTAGGGAAGGCAGGTGACAGCATGGGACATGGACAGACCTCTGAACTGGGATACATAGACCCTGGCCCCAGGGCTGCTTTGCCACTAACCAGGGTCAAGAGGAGCTTGGAACCACAAAGGAGAACAACTTCACTACAGGATGTGCTTTCTGCTATGCCCCCATGCCTACAGCAGGACCTATACTTGAGGACACACAGTAACCACCTCTGGTGTGCATAAAGGAATGGATTTTCACTGTGATTATTACTAGCATCAGCTGCTTCTCTGAGCTGCCATTTTCCTCATAAAAATGATGAAAACAGACCCTTTGTGGAGTGTCCATTCATGCCTTTGCACTCATCTATCCTACTTCATAGGTAGGGATGCTGAGGTTTTGGGAGATGCTATACCTACAGTCACACAGTTCATTCTATGAAGGGCTTGCCTCAGCCCAGCCCCTACTTTGGGTAGGGTATCTTCTTCTTTTCCTGTACTGTCTTGCTTCCATTCCACTTCTCCTGACGCCCCACTGTAGACCTTTGCACTGATTCCTGTAGGAGGGTCTATATGACATCATCTAAGTTACTGACTGTGGTTTTCCCAACTTCAATAGCCTGGCCAAGAGCTGGGATTACAAGTAGAATGGGAAGCTGCACATTGACCTTGAACCACTCTGAAAGAGCAGTGAGGATAAGAGTTCATTGTTATGCCATGGAAATATCAGTGTTAACATGGAAATCCTGTGTTCCCGTTAAAGCAGCTGTGCATATAAAAATATAGGAGGCTGCTTCATAATAGTTCCACTCAAATGATAACTTTATTGATAGTGCTATGAGGTCATTCTTGCAATGAAGTTGCCAGATGACTGTTTATGATTGGAAACCAGCAAGGGGGCAGCTAAAGCCAGAAGGAGCAGTGAGTAGAGGAGAAGAGGAGAGGGCCAGGTTGGAGGCTCAGGGTGGGAGAGCAGGCTAGGAGGGCTAGTGAAGTGTATACCTAACAACACAGTTGTTAGTTGCTGTTGAGTTGCCTCCAACTCACGGTAACCCCATGTACAACAATTAAATGTTGCCTGATTGGTGTACTCAAGTCCATTGTTACAGCCATTGTGTATTTTGAGTATCTCTCATCATAGGGGGCTTGTCTTCCAGCACTACATTGGAAGACTCTGTTGTGATTCATAGATTTTTCATTTGATAATTTTTGGAAGTAGATTGCCAGGCCTTTCTTCCTAGTCTATCTGAGTCTCAAAGCTCTGATGAAACCTGTTCACCTTGGGTGACACTGCTGGTATTTGAAGTACTGGTGGCATAGTGTCCAGAATCAAAGCAACACACAAGCCACCACATTATGACAAACTGACAGGCAGGTAGTGGAACACATAGTTGTTGTTAGGTGTCATCAAGTTGGCTGTGATTCATAGCAACCCTATGTACAACAGAAAAAACAAAACAAAACAACACTGCTCGGTCTTGTGTCAGCCTCATAATCCTTGTTATATCTGAACCCATCATTGCTGCCACTGTGTCAATCCATTGAGGGACTTCCCCTTTTTTGTTGACCATCCATTTTACCAAGCATGATATGAAATATCTGTGAATCACCACAGTATGACACATACCAAAGTATGACAAACTGACAGACAGGTGGTGAATCACATAGTAAGTACTCATACATAGTTACTGAACATATGATTGCTTGAATAAATGCATGTGTGTATGAATGAATGGATTCAGAGGCTGGTGTTCTAGCCTTTGATGAGTCAATGAGAACTCCTTACTTTCACTTGCTCAAATCAGAGTGGGTAGTTATACAAGCTTAGATGCTCAGAATTATCCCTAGGTATTTCCCAGAGGAACACCAGCATTTCTTCTATCAATTTGTTCAGCAATAGCCACACTTTTCCCTTCAAGCAATTAGCAATTGCTTTCCATATCCTGGTACATTTATCAGCATTTAACATGTGTTAACTCAATTAGTCCCTGTGACAACCCTATTTATTAGGAAATATTATCACTTCCATTTTACAAATTTGGAAGAGGGATCTCAGAAAATTGTTATTGTTTTCCTGGGTCATACAGCTAACGAGTATTGCAAGCCTGGCAGTCTGGCTCTAGAGTGCTTAGTCCGGCCCAGCCAAAAGCCTAAGTAAGTTAGGTAAGTATTAGTCTCTTCCAGGTATCCAGAGTTGAATTTGTACAAGTCACATGTCCATGATGTGATGACTACTACTAAAGCAGTGACAATTCAGCTTAGCCAGAGTTGCCACAAAGGTTGGAATGGCACAGAGGAGGTAACTCTGGCCATTCTGGGAAGTTGGGGATGAGTAAGACCAAGACCAACAGCATCAGCATTCCCTGGGAATGTATTAGGAATGCAAATGATCAAGTCCTCTTAGATCTACTGTGTCAGAAATACTCAGTATTTGTTGTGTGAGCCAGCAATGTATGCAGTAATAAGCCCTCCAGGGTTTTCTGATGCATGCTTAGGAAAGAAAGTATAAGAGAAAGGTTCCCCAAATTGGACCTTGATGGATAAATAGGAATTTTCTACAGTGACTTAAGTATAAACATTCTAGGCAGAGAGCTCAGCACCTATGGTAGCCCTCACCTCTTCCTGTCAGTTTCCCCTTGTCTTCTTGTCCATCCTATCACTGAGGCTCCTGAGACAGGATCTTTCACTTCTGGAAATGGTGGGCATGTTAGTTCTCATTGGTTGCACTCCCTTGCACTGTTTCCAGCCACCCATACCCAGCTGGAAGTATGTGAAGATATTTGGGGAAGACTAGCTGAAGAGAAACTCAGGGCTGCCAGGTAAGTTAATGGCCTGGTCTAGGTTTGGGATAAGAAGCCTGGAATAGAAGACCACCTCATGCTGGGGGTGATGAATGAGATGTGGCTGAGCTCCGGAATGGATGTAGGGGGCAGTATCTATGGACAGGCTGAGAGTAGTTGTGTGATAGAGTTAATTGTTATTTATGGCCAGAATTGCAACTGGGATCAGAAGAAATAGCTATCTTGACCCGTTATTGGACAGGCATGAAAGGCCCTGGGACTTTTTGTAAATACCCAAAGTACCCTCTACCTTTCCTTCACCACTCTTATCAAGATCATAGACCCTACCTATAGTGAGCTCTACAAGCCTAACTCACTGATGTCTACTTGATTATGAATGATAATGACCCTACTGGACAGAGTAAAACAGCCCATAGGGCTTCTAAGGCAATTATATTTAAGGAAGCAGACTGCTATGTATTTTTCTTGAAGAATAGCTAATGGGTTTGAACTACCAACGTTTTGGTTATTAGCCAAGCACTTAACCACTATACCATAAGGACTCCTTCTACAAGCTTAGGGACTACCTTTGTCTTGCTGACAGCTCCACCTCCAACATTCAACCCTGTGCCTGGCACTAAATAACAACTAATGCTTGTTTGAAAGCCTGTCTCTTCTGGGAAACCCAGGAATTTCACTGTACCCTTTACTGTCCACATCACTGTGTCTGTCAGCATTTGGTTCAAACCATGGCTAGACCCATTAACAGCACATGATATTCAGCAAGACATTTGTTATTAATTGTCTTTGATTTTTGCTTGTGTAAAGCAAGGATAACAGTACCCACTTTGTTGTATGGGTGGAAATAATGTGCATGGATATAGTGAGGGGAACTCCCTCCACAAGACAGCGACCCTCCTGCTCCCTAGGCACAGAGTGAATCACTCTGACCCTCAGCCATATGTAGTCTTTCATAGTGATGCAGCGTCTGTAACTTCAGTTTTCTCATATGTAAAATGGTAGTGGTGTTACTTTGTAATGTCACTGGGAATTGGTGTGTAGTAAGCATCTTGTATAGGGTCCAGTATAGGTTGGGCCATTTGAATATTAGTTATTTTTATTGTCAATAATGTTGGCCTGATCTCAGTGAGAGTGGGATTTTCAATAATGGGCATCTTAATATTCTCATATGCTATTTGGCATATATATCAACTTGAGAATCAGAAAATTCACCTGTAGTAATTGATCCAAGATAAATAATAAGAAAAGGAAACAAAAATACATGCAAAGGAAAGTTTATGACAACGTGACTTCCAGCAGAAAATAAATGAGCTCAATATCCCACATTAGAGAATTGGTTATGCAAATTGTGATCCACTCCTATTATAGAATATTATACAGTGATAAGTGTGATGCATGGGGATTCTTAGTGACAGGAAGAAATGCTTATGGAAGGATGTTAATGAAAGGAGCAAGATTCTGTAAATATTAATGTTAACTATGCAAAAGTTTCTAGAAGAAGAATGAATGAAAATACACCAAAACTGTTGATGGATCATAAAAGGGGTACTACGGGTGCTGTTGTTTTATAATGTATTATTTTCTGCACTTTTCAAATACTCTCATTAAACACGTGTTGATTCTACATCTAAGATATGGGTGGGTCTTCAGAATCAGATGTTGGTTCACAGAAATTTCCAAACATTGGCCTAGAAAGTCTGTAAAGTTTGCTGACCTCAGTCCCTGCCTGTCTTGCCTTGCTCCATACAGAGTTCTCTTCCATGACCCCACAAGCCACGCTTGGGTCATTGAGTCATTGTTGTGCAGTAGAACTATAATTGCCCTTTCTGAATAACCTTTCTTAGTCTTGAATTCACACATCTTTTGCCCAATCTTGTAAGGATGCCACTTTGAAAGTAAATAACAAAAACATTGTTAACATTGCTGTGAGTGTATGCTTATTGGTTTTTAGGATCCTAACACTTTGGGTTGTAAATGACACTTGGAGACCATAATGGCTAGCACTGCATGGTTCTTCTATAGCTCCTCAGACCACAGGTCCTACCCTGTCTACACAGCTTTCCCTGGGCTGTCATCTGCTTCCTCCTCAAGTGCACATTTCCATTTGCAATGAACAAATGTCCAATATGGGAAAGAGTTGATGCATCAATGACCCTCATTCCACTCACTCATTCCTAGGGCTGCAGGTATGGGTTGATAGCCACACTGCTGCTGGCCACAGCTTTCTCTTCCTCAGAGATACGCTGAGGTTGACTCTTTGGGATTATCAGTATGTTCATTCAGACACAAGGCATTGTTGAGCTGACCTCTAAATGATGCCCAGATTTGAATCTCTTCTCCTACTTTCTGGAATAATGGAAAGTCCATTGACTAGCATTCTCTGAGAGGAAACTGCAGTTTTCTCTATCTGTCAGTTTGTTGTACTGTGGTGGCTTGCATGTTGCTGTGATGTTGCAATCTATGGCACTGGTATTTCAATTACAAGCAGTTTTTATAGCAAATACCATGGGGGACAAGTTTCAGTGAACCTTGTAGACTAAGACAGACCAGAAAGAAAGGTTTGGAGATCTGCTTCCAAAAATTAGCCAATCAAAACTTGGTGGATCACTACAGAAAAGTTTCAGATATAGTGCTGAAAGATGAGCCCCCTAGGTTGAAAATGGCCTCAAGCATATTGGTGATCCTCAGGGTGTCTCAGAACTGGACAAGGTTTCTTTCTGTAATACATGGGGTCATAATGAGCTAGAGCAGACTTGACAGCAATTAATAACAACAATCA